GTCAACTGGTTGTTATGGCCCATAGGCCCTCCCAGGGTGGTTGCTATGCTCTGCGTGTCATTGCTGTGCGCTTGTCCGGAAAGCACACCCAGAGCTGTAAAGCATAGCACCACCAGCTAACTTCTGATTGGTTCCTTGGTCACACACACCTTTAATTCCAGCACTCAGGAGGCAGAGGTAGGTGGATCTCTGAGTTCCAGGCCAGCCTGGTCTACAGATCGAGTTCCAGGAAAACCAGGACTACCTACACAGAGAAACCCTATCTCACAGAGAAACCCTATCTCAAGGGGAAAAAAGTAAAAAGCTAAAGCTAAATGGAATGTTGTTAGGTGCTTTATCCTATAAATGTCAACTAGGTCCAGCTGACTGACAATTTTGTTTGTTTGTTTTAGCCTCCTGTGTGCTGTGCAGCCGTGAGGATGCCCTTCAGCTGCGGCCTTACACTGGGATTACAGGCATGCACTACACTTGGGCCAGTGTTTACATCTTGATGGCCTTGCTAATTCCCTATGTGCTTGTCTTACTGGTCATTAGGAAATGAGGGCTGAGGCCCCACATCTAACTGTATTCTAGAACACTTTACAGGTTAGTCAGCTTACCATTCTGAATCTGAGCAACTTTTTTTGAGATCTCTCCAATGATCTGTGGGGAAATAAATAGTAAAAGGCACACTTTCATGATTGTTGAACATACCTGAAAGCACAGGAAAACTGTAATTCACAACTAACAAAAATATTATAAGTGTGGTAGAGCACACCTTTAATCCCACCACTGGGGAGGCAGAGGCAGGCAGATCTCTGTGTTTTCAAGGCTGGTTTGGCCTACACAGTAAATTACAGGCCAGCCAGGACTACAAAGTGGGACCATGTCTCAAAAACCAAAAACAACACTAGGTACACCTTAATCCTAACAATTGGGAGGTGGAAGCAAGCAGATCTCTGTGAGTTAGAGGCCAGACTAGTCTGTAGATGGACAGCCAGGAACACAAGGAAAGACCCAGTCTCAAAAAAAAAATAAATAAATAAATAAATAAATAAATAAATTCTGGTTAATAATCATTGTGATAAAAAGAAGCAAGCAAAAGCATGTTACCTTTACAGAGATCAGGTTTACCCAGAACATACCTGTCGTCTCCATTTCTCAGCTTTGGGCAACTCAGTACATTCAGAAGCAAGAAAGGGTCTTCGTTCCTAAAGAGAATGAGAGTAACACATGTTGCCACTAGGCTCTATACACACTTAAGTAACATCCGCAAACAATTCTGGCTTGAGACCTGAAATATTTAATGCTCTAAATATACTTAAGTACTGTGTTACAAGATACTCAATTCCTAACCCTAACTCTACAATCTCTTCTTAGGAAACTATAGAATTAGGAAACACAATTACTCAAGGAACTTTAGTTAAAATAAACACATGCATGTATGTAATCTCTCCAGGCCCACCCTCTACTTTCTTATAGTCAACATTAGAGCTAGAATAATAAAGGAACCCTGACATCACTTTAGATTTAAAAAAAAAAAAAATGGAAAAGGCAGGAGCCAGAAAACCACACTGCCCCAACAGAAGAGAGGAACACCATGCTGAAGTTCAAGAGTACAAAGTCTTTAACAAGTATAGTTAGGAGCAGATGGAGTTTGAAGCCCACTCAATACATTGAAGTTTCAATGTATTTCCTCTTGACACTTCCCAGAGGAAGAAACTTCACTCACCTTGACTTTTCCCTCTTCTAGCTGAGCTTGACGAAATCTTGCCAGGGCAGTCCTGCCAAGGACATAAAGGACCCCATTAGATTTCTTATCACTCAAGTTCCGGGATGGAGTGGGTCTGCTTGTGACCACATCTAAAGTCAGTAGTGTGAATAGCAATAAGGAAACCAGAGTAGTTAAGGATTTTCATGTTCCAAGGGATAGACCTCCAACGCTATCTGTGTTTCTAAACACTCGGGTATCTACTTTAACTATACTACATATATAGACAATAGAAACTCTATTCATCAGCAATATACAGAAATGTTAGAGGATTAACATGGATGCCCTTGCTGCCATCCCCAACCTATGCACAGGTGGGAAAATGTTTATCCAGGATAAGTTGTGGAGGATGTCAGAAAACGTTAATTGGAAAAACAAACACAAGAAAACACAGGGATGCTATTTTAGCACATGGAAAGAAGAAACCACTTCTAGAAAGACTCCTACCAAAGGGATCATGTACAAGTGCTATGCTTGTTATTAAATCTCAAATTTTTCAGCCCCAAGTAAGTTGATACTCACATGGCCTTTTCTGCATTTCGGGCCTAGATGGAGACAAAGGAAGAAAACTGTTTAGAATATCTGTTTTGTTTTGTTTTTTTCCTTGTGGTTGACTTTAAATGATGATTTTAAAGGGTAAAAAGAACATTTTTTTTTTTCAAATTCATATGTGTGTGAGCCTGCTTGTCTGTAGGTGCTCCATGTGTGTACATGGCCAGAGGATAGAAGTGAATGAACATCAGTTCCATGGAACTCAAGTACAGGCAACTGTAAGCCACCTGATATGGATGCTGGGAACCAAACCTGGGCCCTCTGCATGAACAGTGCTTTTAACCACTAAGCCAACTCCTCAGTCCCTACAATACTTTTTTTTTAATCACGTCTATTGTTTTCTACTTTTGTTATTTTTAAATTATCTACTTTTTATAATCAGACACATGTGTAGAGTATACTGTGATTATATCCATTAACCTCCCTGATCCTTCCCCCACCCTACCAGGATTACACATGTACCACCATGCACAGCTCTGACCAGAAAACAGCACAGCTGGCAGTTCCCTGCCAGGGGAACTCACAGGAAAGTACACAAGACTGGCTTTTGCAAAGCAATTTTTGTGCAAATGCTGCCACATCAGTGTTAAGTCAATGATCCCTAAACCCTGGGGTCAGGAAGACAACACATTTTTTTTTTCTGTTGGGTTGTAGACTACTTGATAAATCTGGGACTTGGATTTTGTTCCAAGCTCTTCCTCTCACCATCACTGAGACATGGTCTCACTAAAACCTAAGTTTCCCTTAACACCAAATATCGTAGCTCTTATCTTATTAAAATGCTGTGATGACTTACTCAGATAAATGCATTTAGATAATCAGATAACATAGTTTATAGAGTGGGCAAAATGAGCTTCATTTAACTTGCCCTTCAGATTCTCCGTTCCAACCGCCTTTAAAAGAAACTTGGCAGGTAGTTAATGGATAAATGAACATGGCAACAGAGTAGGACACACCCTCACTTAGAAACGGCTGCTTCTAAGACCACTGTTTTCTCTCCTTGTTAGGATTCTGTACTAACAGTCTATAGTGGCTTCCAAAACATCCTCTGGCATCCTGTGCTTCCTAAATTTTGTGTATCTATTTTTATTTAATAGGACAAATACCTGTTTATTACTATGAATGTATACAATACCACCCCCAAAAAAAGTCTATTAATGGCTTTTTTTCTATTTGGTATTATAAAATACCCCAGACTGACAAGAAAAACTATATAGTTGAATAAATGTCCATATTTTATTTATATATATATGTATATATATATATATTTATATATATTGACACAGTTATATACTTACATCTGTTTCATAAACATATTTTGGTATTCACACATGGGTAAATATCTACCAAAATGGGCTGGTTTTGTGGACAAGACTATACAGATCTCAACACTAGACCTCAAAGATATTAATAAAACTCAGGGGTTTGAAAACAAATCCGTATGCTTAAGGGACTTTTACTTTTAATATGTATAGATATAGTTTTTTTTGTATGTGTATGAATGTTTTGCCTATTACATGTATGTGTACCACGTGAGTGCCTAGTGCCCTCTAACTTCAGAAGTGGGTTTTGGATCCCCTAAAACTGGAGTTACAAATGATTGTGAGCCATCGCGTGGGTGCTGGGAACTGAAGTGAAGTGGTTCTTAACCACCGGGCCATCTCTCCAGCCCCCACTGGGACTTCACTTTAAAATAACACAGCAACCACGCCTCTTTGCACCAACACTACGTGTGGTATCGTATTTACATATTAAACACTTATTGAGTGAATGAAACCGAGGATCACAGCCTCTCAACACTTCGGTGTATGCTAGGCACGGTGATGGCACACCCGTCTAGAGACTGCCAGACTCTGTCTCGGGCACTAGGCAAGCGAAAGTGTGCAGACCCTGCCCTTGAGAAGTTCCTATCTGTGAAGACTGAGAACACGTGGGCGGGTCCTCGGCCCAATCAGTCCTATCCATAACGTGCTTCATCCGGATGGAACCACCCAGGTGCAATTCAGCTCCCCAACACGGTTTTCTCCTGCAGTTTCTAACACCTACACCAGGAGAGAATAGAACCCCTGACTAGGCCACGGACCACCCACACCCCCACACCCCCGCGAGGCCGCACACTGGCCCGGGCCTCTCGGGCCCATGCGCCCGATCCCTCCCCAGCGCACTCACCATGGTGCCGGCGAGGGCGCCCCGGCGCCGCGCCGCAGCACAGCGTGCCTAGCTCTCCCGGACCAGGCGGGCCGACGCGGGAACGGAAAACTCTTAACAGCTGACAGGATGCTCTTTTTGTCGGAAGAATAAATGGAGGGGACCGGAAGTTAGGGACCGGAAGCGAATGAAAGAACGAGGGAGGGGCGAGAGTCGCAGTTGCGCTTCTGTGGGCGGCTTTCCGCCGGCGTCTGTCCGGTGCGTCATCGCTCGCGTACGGGAGCAAGACTACGCTTGCGCCGCGGGAATGAGTCTGTCGATGTTTGGTTTTGTTCTCGTGGTAACAGCGGTCAGAGATTAGCCTGTCTCTGTCCTTCCTGATCCTTCTAGGACGGCAGATGACCGTTTTGAAAACGACTCCTCCATCGCTCTGAATGCAATGAGTGAACTCCACAGCCGCCCCGGGCCCTGCAGGAAGTGCTGTCGCCTGCGTGGACCCGGGTCCCTGACACACCTGCAGGTGCCGGCGCTGGCCGGGGAGCCAGTGGAGCAAACCTGCCTTCCCGGGAGGCTAATTCACGACTGCCTGTCATTTGCTTGGAGCTGAACAATGCCTGAGACCGTGGTTCTCCTCCTTTTAGGAAACATGTATAATTATCGTTATAATTTATTAAAGGTGACTGTTGCCAAGAAACTGACCGGATGAATGTGATCGTGAGAAAGAAGTGAGTGTGACCCAACGAATGAGGCCTTTCTCCACACATTCCCAGAAGTCAGACCACCCTCTTTTAAAACACAAACTTAAGGCTAGGTTTGCTGACCCACACTTTTGATCCCAGCGTTCGGTAGCAAAACAGGCCGGGTTTTTCTTGTAAATTGGAGGACAGCTTGGTCATATAGAGAGTTCCAGACCAGCCAAGGGTGCATAGTGAAACCTGCCTCAAAAACTAAAGAGGTCATCTTTGATCCCAGCACTCGGAAGACAGAGGCAGACATATCTGAGTTCAAGGCCAGTTCACAAAGTGAGTTCCAGAACAGCTAGGGCTACATAGAGAAACTCTGGCTTGGGGGAGAAATGAGAAGAAAATAAAATCTGGAGGTAAAGGAAAAGCCACCTGGAGCAGATGGGGATTAGAGACTACATGAAACACTTGCCAGAGATACGGGCACTAGAAATGGTGGTGGGCTCTCACATTGAGTCGGCATTAAGGAGAGTACCCATGTCACAATGCACACAAGAATGTTACAGACCACCATATATACAAGGTCAAATTAGAGTCCTTTATTAGTCCCCAGCTGAGCACAGACTCTTGTTCCAAAGCACTCCCTGCACTAAAACTAAGGACTATAGCATTTATGAAGGTAAAAAACCACAACAGCATTACAATCAGGTGTAGGTTGGGGGAACTTGGTAGCATTTGTTTTGGCTATACATTCAGCAGTCATTTTGGTTATGCATCTGGGCCACAGTCAGCCCACTATGTGCTCCTGATCATTCTACCATTAGATCCATCTATTGGTAAGTACACAGAATCACAAGGAGAGTGGTACACTAGGAGGAGTTCACGACGAAACAGGATGTGGCAGATACTTAGATCATCTATGTAAGTGGGCAGCTGGCCACCCCGCTAGAATTTGCCTTCCTGCTTCTTGCAACTAGGTATGGGGATATGACCAAAAGAATGGCCAGTGGCACTTTGGGCCAGGAGCCCCAAGGTTTTTTTTTTTTTTTTTTTTTTTTTTTTTCCTTAGCCCTTAATTTATGCATTACTAAAGCACCATGACATTTTACATTCAGAGATTTGTGGAGATTGATTGGTCTTTTCCATAAGTTTGAAGCAGAGGGAAAGACTATGGAAACAGATGTAGTTGGCATTTTCCTTTGGACTGCCAACTAGCTCCCACAGAAACTTACTATTAATTATGAATGTTTGGCCTTAGCTTAGGCCTGTCCCAGTCGCTCTTTTTTAACTTAATTTAACCGGTTCTTATTCATCCACATTTTGCCTTGGAGCTTTTTGCCTTTCATTCTGCATGTCCTACTTTCCTGCTTCCTCCATTGTAGGAAGTTAAGGCCTACTAGGCCGAGAGATGAGCCAACCTGGAGTCAGACAATTGCTGTCAGAGGTTCTGACCGTGCCTAGCCAATGAGGGACGAATATGAAATGTCAACAGATCAGAATGCCTGGGTGCTGGGAGGGTAGATAAGTTTCTACCCATTTCTAAATAAAAGAGTCTGCTATTTTTCCATTCATCTGACTCCTGGAGTCTGTGTCATTGATTTTGCACCTTCTAATCCCCTCCCCCAAGGGAGCCTCTAGGACCCAGTAACATCTGACGCATGGAACAGGGACTTCTGGCATAGGTTTTGAGCTCACCTGGTAAGAGTCTTTTTTCTTTTTTTGTTGCAGCTGTAATTTTTGGGCTTTGCCCAGAACAGGTTCTAGTGTCTCCCTCTCCTCACTCTCAGTGCTAGACAGAGTCTACAAGATGGTGTATTCTGGTGAGAAGGCCCCACTATATTGCGTACTTTAGATCTCTTCAGCAGGTAAGTGTTCGGACCCCCATTTCTTTTCTTTTGTGTTGTCTGTCATGTTTGCCTGCCCATTTGGTTAGGAAGGCACATATTTATCTGTTCCACCCATGTTGACTGTCATCTTCTATCTGACTGTTGCTCAACTGTTGTCTCCCTTTACAAAATGGGTAACCTCTCCTTCACCTCCACCTCTTCCATCACAACATCCAGTGATGAGGGGACAGGCAGTTCAAGACCCGTGAAACATGTTAAGGAGAACGCGGCCATAGTAAGACTGCATCAGCTCCACTCCACCACTGAGGCTACACCTCCGTAGCAATACCCTTGGAGTGAAGTGTCACAATGTCCACCTGACCCTGAAAGCAGGAAATCCCTAGCACTGCACTATGACCCCTAGCCACTGCAGCCCCCAACTGTTAAATGACCACTCAACAGGCAATCGGGCTAAGGTTTTCTTTATTCAGATACACCAGCCAATCGCAAGCCAAAGCGAGGAGGAGGGAGCCGGGACCAGGGCCAGCAGAAGGAGAGAAGAGAGCGCCCATTTGTCCTCGAACCGATTAAGAAGCCTTCTTTATGTCACCTTAGACTTCCCCTCACCCCGCCCTCACGGGCGGGCATGTTCCGGCCCACCTGTCCGGGTTACCTGGGGCGGAGCTAGAGTGTCTCCCTACACCCAACCCCAGGCCTCAAAGGCTGGCATAAGCCTTTCTGGTCAACCTGGGACAAAACACCATTAACCAGCCCTGACCTCCCACCCCCATAGCTGAACTGTCTCTTATACGGAAGACAACTAATGAGTCATCCTGGATTCACTTTACTTTGAACAGGTCCTCACTCAATGGGCAATACAACTACAGACTTACTTTGATTGGTATAGTCAGCTAAAAGCTGTGCTGGAGCCAGCCACCTTTCTTTGATGGAAATTGGCCTATGATGATCAGGCAGAAACTCAAGCACAATGAACCTCTTAATTCATGTCCCAGTGACCCTTGACATGCTCACTGGTTGAGGTAACTTTATCCATCCCCTCCATCAAGCACAGATTGGCCACAAGCCTACTATCAACAGGTTTCTTCGGACCTAGCCTTCTTCATGGGATCCTTCAGCTTATTTCCTCAATCTTATTCAACAGCCAAGGGAACTTTTTACTGATTATCTCGCACATGTCAATGAGGTGATGGAGTGGAGAGTAGATCCGGGCCCCACTAGAAAAATGTTAATCAAACAATTGATTTGGGAAGGGCTTAATGTCTCCACCTGCAATGTTGTCACAGCGGTCCAAGATGAGGACATTCACAAGTGAGTACTGGCCAGAAGAGATCTTGATGCCAGACAGACGTTGGTGGCACACACCATTAATCCCAGCACTTGGGAGGCAGAGGCAGGCGGATCTCTGTGAGTTCGAGACCAGCCTGGTCTACAGAGAGTGTGCCAGGATAGGCTCCAAAGCTACACAGAGAAACCCTGTCTTGAAAAGCAGAGAGAGAGAAAGAGAGAGAGAGAGAGAGAGAGAGAGAGAGAGAGAGAGAGAGAGAGAGAGATCTTGATGCCAGTAACAGTCCCATCACTGCTCTGCTCCCACCACTTCCCTGGATGCCCTCCTTGCAGACAGGCAGTGCACCCATGACACACCTAGGGCCCCCATGTAGATAGATATTGCTGAGGATGTGGCAAACCAGGACATCTACGGTGTGACTACCGCAGGGCAAAACCTAGGACCCGATGTCCATGATGCAATAAGGAATTTCATTGGGCAAAGGACTGCAGATCACAGCCTGCTGAAGCACCTGCTCCTTTAAACTCCAGGCAGAGCGCTCCTCAGCCCTGCCAGTAAGAGGAGACTCTGGTAATTCAAAAATCAACTGGACATGTCCCATTTTTCCATGCTCCCGATGCTGACCATCTTTCTTGATGGACAAACTGTCAGAGGCTTGGTAGACACGGGTGTGGACATCACCATATTAACAGAAACAGAGGTGCTTCGCCTTCCCCATTGGAAATTTAGACCTGGCCCTCCCATCAGTGAAGGAGGAGGTCAACAATATTCAAAACTTACCCCCAGTCCAGTCCATTGGAAAGATCTTGATGGCCCTTATTATGGATACATCAAAAACATTTTGATCTGTGCAAAGTCACCTCTAAGTCTGATTAATCTTTGCAACTTGGCCTTAAGGGACAAATGCTGGCATGGAGAACATATGGATGAGAGCCACATAAGCTTGTCTTCCCCTTTTCTTCAAAGAATATCCAGGCCCTCTGGGCAGAATGAGATATCATTTCAGGAAATGGGGTTGCAGGATCCACAGGGACTCTTGACAATCACTTGCCAAAAAAAAAAAATCTTAGCAGGACTCCCTACACTTCCAATAAAAATACTTACAGTCCCACGTAGTCCCCTCCTCCACTCCCATCCCTCATGCCACGCTGGACTTTTCAGATTCCAATAAAAACAGATATGGTATTCTTTTCCAGCATCCTGGTTACAAAGATGTCACACATGTTATCCCTAACCCTGGTTTCATTCAATTGGGTGAACTATTGGCCCTCCTCAAGGTTCTAATAGAGTGCCAGACTGAGCCCATTAACATTTTTTTTCTGACAGCCAGTACACTGTACAGGCAGTTTGTGTACTGGCCTTTTCCCAATTCAAAGACTCACTGACCCCATTACCAGCACTATGTTGCTCATACAAGATGTCTTAAATCAGAGGTCTGAGCCCTGGTACCTGTCACAGATTAGATCTCACTCCAAATTACCCAGAATATTGACTAGAGGAAATGAGGTCACAGACACTGTCATGTTAACAGCCAGTATGGATCTCCTAGAGCAAGCCAGGACTCTTCACCAACAGTCTTGTCTGTCTCCACAGAATTTGCATGGATTTCTTCCAGAATTACCAGTCTCCCAATGTGTCCTGGGCATGTGCCACTCCTGCTCCTCTTGCCCCTTTAGGACCATTCACCGCACAGGAGTTAATCCCCCCCCCCCCCCCCGCCCCGGTTTGTTGCCTAATGCCACCTGGCAGATGGATGTTACTCACTATGCCCCCTTTGGCAATCTTAAATATGTTCATGTGATAACAGATACCTGTTCCTCCTTTGTTTATGCACTTGCCCTTTCTGGGGAGACAGCCATCATTGCTGCCAAGGTCCTTAAGTCAGCTATGGTAGTTATAGGGGTACTTTGGTCACTTAAGACTGACAATGGCCTTGCCTATGCATCTCAACAATTCAATGACTTTTTGGAGTCCTGGAAGACTTCCCAAACCATTGGCATTCCCTGAAATCTGCAGGGACAAGCCATTGTGTAGAGGACTAACTGAGCTCCTAAGGAGCTGTTAGCCAGAACTATCTCTACAGAGGCTAGGAGAGATCCTCATCTGGCCTTAACAGAGGTCCTTTTCCATATGAACGTTCTCACTCTTGATGACAAGGGGCTCAGCCCAGCCTACATGCACTGGGCATCTTGGCCAAGGAACACACCCCTGTCCCTGGTGAGATGGAGACATCCTATCTCCCTCCAATGGCAGCAGGCAGCTCACCTGCTAACCCATGGGTGAGGGTGTGCTTGTGTTTTTCCTCAAACTGCCATGACACCAATATGGGTCCTAGTAAGAGATATGTGCCTGGCCATGGATCAGCCTGCTTCCACCAAGGAGGGAATAATTCAGGATGGGTAATGTATATACTCCCCTCTCTTGTTCTCATTGCTGTCCCTCCCAAACAAATTGATTTATTTCAATTAGATCAGACAAGGACAGAGGTTATGGCCTTTTACTCTCTTTAATTTTTTAAACATCCACACGTGCCTTAATTGGAAGGATGGTATTGTTAATCCTTAATCTCTTTAAATGTCTCCCAGCTACAGTCTCTGTCAGAGGTCCTGATCATGCCTAGCTAATGATGGGCTATGTCAATGGGTCAGAACATGTGGGTGCTGGTGCTGGGAGGTTTATAAGTTTCTACTGTTTTTCCTTTCATCTGACTCCCAGGGTCTATGCAATTGACTTCTGACTTCTCACCCCTTCCCCAAGGGACCCATTAAGACCCAGCCACACTCCAGTCTGTCTGTCTGGCCCCTGGTGTCTCCCTAGCATCTCCTTTTCTTTCTCCCGGAGCCTAAATTCTTCCTCCTACTTACTCTCCCTCCCCAGAATTTCTGCCTATACCTTCTTCCCCACTATTGGCCATTTAGCTTTTTACCAAACCAATAAGGTGCCTTAGGCAGGCAAGGTAAAATTACATCTTTACATAATTCTTCAGAAACATAAGCAAATGCAACACATCTTTGCACAGTTAAGCAAATATTCCACAACAAATGGAGTCAGAGATGTGTGCACCACTTCACTTCCCAGGAAATGAATAGTAGGCTAAATTCCTAGGACCATGTATTTTTAAAAAAATCTTGACCTTTTCCTTTTTCTGTCCTGTTTCCTTTTCTGAGAGGTGACCCTAATTAGGAACAACCAACTTGGGCTGAGAAATGAAAGTCTCGTGAGTCCAGAGTCCACTGCCAGGCCTAGAGTCTAAGTCTTTGTAAAACTAGTAAAGTCTTGAAGCCATTGCCTTTGCAAGGTTTAAGCCATTATGTTAAATATTTTATTCCAAACAAGAATGATCAATCTTCACATAAAGACTTGAGACAGAGAGGGGAAAAAAGGAGAAAGAGGAGGAGGATGAGGAAGAAGGGGAGGATGAGGAGGAGGAGCAAGTGTCTTACTGAGACATTCAACTGTCTGCTGGCCTGAACTCCGTATGTAAATCAGGTTAGCCTCAAATTCACAGACATTCTCCAGACTTCCCAGTAGTGAGATTAAGGACATATGTCCCCATACCTGACTTCAAAAGAGACTTGTTCTTGTTTTCATCCAGGCTCTCAAGTAGCCCAGCCTGGCCTGAAACTTGCATTATAGCTGAGGATGACTTTGAACTCTGATCTTCCTGCCTCCAATTCCCATATCTACAGGTGTGCAACCACTACAACCAAATGGTTGGAGGGGGTCAGCTTTTTTTTTTTTTTTGACAGGGTCTTGCTATTATCCTAGGCTGACCTTGAATTCTAAGCTAATATGGCCTCAGTTTCCCCAAGTGCTGGAACTACAGATGTACAGCACCACACCCAGTTCTCAGTTCAAACAAGTGTGGCTGATTACCACCAAGCCTGATGACCTGAGTTTGTATGCTGAAACAGTCCTCTGACTTCCACATTTACACCCATATACATAAAATACATGAATTAAAAAAAGAGTAAAAATTTTGGGCCTAGAGAGATGGCTCAGAGGTTGGGAGCACTGGCTGGCTACTCTTCCAGAGGTCCTGAGTTCAAGTCACACACATGGTGACTCACAACCATCTATGGTAAGATCTGGTGCCCTCATCTGGTGTGCAGGCAGGAACAATGTATACATAATAAATAATAAATAAAATTTAAGAATCCTGATTTAGGACAACTCAATCTATTCTTTTCAGTTCAGTCAACTCAAGTGAAAAGCCTTGTTTTGTCATCTGTGCCAGAAGCAGGGTAGAAAAAAACAAAGTACATTGAATTGATGGAAACAATGCTTCCAAATTAAAAATATTGCCCAACCCTGTCTGACCCATAAGCCAGAAAAATGCTCTTGCCAATGCCTTGTCCCTTGTACCCTTCTATGAACCTCAAATACTCTTCTTTCCTCTATCAAAAATTTATTGGAGGTATGGTACACAGCCCTCAAAGATGCCCAAATCCTTATCTCCTGGACCTGAAAATTGTTACGAAAAGGGATTTTGTAGTTGTAATTAAGGACCTCAAAATGGGAGCCATCCCATGTTATCAGTGGCTTCCATGGAATCATAAAGGTCTTCATAACAGGGAAGCCAAGGTTCATTTGAGAATTGTCACCTTATGAGTAAAGAGGGGATGATGTGGCCAGAGCCAAGGATGTGTACAGCTGCTGGAAGCAGGAAAGGACAAGGAAATTTTCTTCCTGGGGCTAGGGGTGTAACTCAGTGACGGAGTGTCTACCTGGCATGCACAAGGCCTTGAGTTCAATCCCCAGAACCGCACACATTTTTTTTCCCCAGACAGGAAAGCAGCCGTGTCTACAGTATTTGTGAGACCCATTTCACTGTATATAGGTTTTTCTTGAGTTTTGTTTTGAGACCAGTTTGGGGTAGAGCAGGGTGTCCTGAAATATGTGTAGCCTAGGATTACCATGAACTCCCCTGATGCTGCTGGGATGACATGCATACACCACCATCCCTTCTACACATTACTGCTCATTCCACAACTATTTCCCTCTAAGACACTTCTGTTACTAGTGGCTTGATTTTAAAATTTAGTTAAGGGGCTGGAGAGATGTCTCAGCAGTGACTATGACTAAAAACGCTGGCTGCTCTTCCACATAAGGCCAGGTCAAATGAGAAAGTTCCAAATAAAAGGTTTTTTTCATTAAATTCCTGAATTTTAACTTCTGTCCCTAGTCTATATTTGACTTTTTGTTTTTTCAAGGCAAGGTTTCTCTTGTGTAACTATCCTGGCTGTCCTGGAACCTGCACTGTAGACCAAGATGGCCTTGAACTAGAGGTCCCCCTGCCTCTGCCTCCCGAATGCTGGGATGAGGTGTGCACCACCACCTCTAGGCAGCGGACTTCCACTTGACTGACAGATACTACCCAGGAAGCACCTGCAAACTGTAAGCTGTTGAGCTCTAGACTTGCTGAAAGCTGATGTGAACTAGTCAGGCTGGTATGATTGCTCCTTTCACCAGGATCAGCTAATCGGATGCTTCTGATAAATGTCCCTTGCCCAGCCTTTGAAAGGCCTTTCTACTTCCCCCATTCCCCTTAACAGACTGAAAATGCTATGTCAAAAGGAAACTCCCCTGACTTAGGTGACAAAATAACTACTATAATGCCAATTGATATACCAGAAAAATGGGCTCAGATCAATATTAGATTCATTAATACAATATGATAGGGCACTTGGAACAAAGATCCATCACAGGGCCTTCGGTCCTTCTGCTTCTAATTACTGTTGGCTCATACATCATTGATACAATAATTAAATGATAATTCCTGTCTGAGTACCTTTAAACTAATGGTTATTAGATCCAAATGTAAATTGGTATCCATCAAAGTCAAGGATTTGACCCAGAAAAACTTCAGGTAGGAATGTTAGATCCTGTTAACCTGTAAATGCTACCTGCCCAAAGACCAAGTAACTTCCTGGAATGATGGGAGTTGTAGTTCTTGAAAATAACAAAGCCTTATGGAAAAGTATGGTGTCCTATGGGTTTTGGACATACAAGCCCCAACACCATGTGCCTTGGTGCCACTCAGCTGAAAAGATTCCATTGAGTGGTTCTGACCAAATTCCATCTTGGTCAGTATATAGTTTTAATTAAAAAGTGATTAAGCAGCCGGGCGTTGGTGGCGCAAGCCTTTAATCCCAGCACTCGGGAAGCAGAGGCAGGTGGATCTCTGTGAGTTCGAGA